GTAGGCTACGTTTTAAAAAATTAATGTAGACCTAGTAGATTCTATATCTCCGTATGTCTGTTGAGACGTTGCAACCCTCTGAGTTCGGGTCGGAATTGACCGACAGGGTCGAAGCAGCTCACCTCCTACATGATCCAACTTGTGTCGATGATCGATGATGGCGTGAAACATCTACAAATTAATATCACGCACAGACAGAAATATGCCACCTTGGTGGTATAATGCTGGACAACAGTATGGAAGAGTCTAGCTCAAATCTCTATAGATTTCTTGAATACAGATTTTTCCGGAAGTTTTCTGGAGTTTCGGAAACTCCCGGGCGCGGTTCGTCCATAGAGCATGGTCGTGCAGTGCCACCCAAAATGTTTTAAGTTCTTTTACCTAAAGCTCCCACAATAACAAAGATAGTACATAAGATATATGGACAAGATGATTCACTCAGCCAAAAAAGTGTCTGCCCGAAGTCCGTTCTTTGCTTCAGGAGATTTTTTTTTTTTAATGTTGTTGTTGTTGTTGCTGTTTTGTTGTTGTTGTTGTCGTCGTTGTCGTCGTCGTCGTAGTCGTTGTCGTTGTCGTTGTCGTTGTCGTTGTCTTCTTTCAGAAATCATACCAAAATTATGTATATCTTCTTAGTTTTTTAAATTTTGTTTTGTGTTTGTTTGGTTTTGTTGTTGTTGTTGTTGTTGTTGGGTAGTTGTTGGGTTTTTTTGCTTTGTTTGTTGAGTTGTTGCTTTTTTCAATATTTAGTTTTAAATTTCGACGAAATATTTATGCTCATACTAGTCATTCGTGCAACCAAAGCCACAGATTAAACAACTGCAATAATGTGGTGGGTTTTTAAAAATTATTTATCCTTTTCTTTAAAGTTTGGACTTAATTCAAATGGACAGGTGGCCGACCAAATGTTGCAGGAATTTTTAAAAGATTTCGAAAAAAAATCACATGTTTGTGTATTTGCAGATGGACGCAAACATCCGAGGTCCTCCAGGATTCAACGGTCGGAGAGGGGTGATGCATAATTTTCTTTGATTTTTTCCCCCTCACTGACTGCACCCGACATTTCTTTCTAGCGTACTGCTCTGAATTAGTTATCTTCCGATACCCTAAGACAAACTGTTGATCGACATTGCACAGTTACTTAAGCTTACATTTAATCTCTTGTGACTAAAGTGACTATTTCTTTTGTGTTATTTATTCTCTTTGCGTTCTTATCTTTCCAAATAGGAATATGCAAAATCGAAACCGACGGGTGGGTGGATGGCGGGTGCTCTGGTATGGTTTGTTTTTTCTTTCCAATCAAACATCTATCGTCTCAATCTCCCCTCCTTCCTTTCTTTCTTTGTATATTACCTTGTTGGTAACATCTGTAATCTTCTGCACTTAAATGACCTTTGTGTCACAAGAGTGGCAGAACCCTTATCCAAAAATATAACAATTTCAAAATAAAAATGACGTCCGTGGTGTATTAGTAAAATGATACGCTGTCGCTGGTGTGTGGAGATTTTTATATCAGAGATCCGGTGGGGGCCACTGTATTATCCTTCTCAGCCTGGGCTGACCCTGACAAGAAGGCGTGGAACCCGTCCTCCTTAATGATACGATGTATGTGTGTCGATGTGGACATAAAAAACACCTACAAATGAAACATCATTAATTGGACATTAAAAGTCCGGAAATGACAAAAAAGTCC